ACTGGTGCTGCCAAGGGACTTGAGAATCAGCATCGAGGGAGAAGAGGAATAGAGGCTGCCGCCTCCTGATTGCAGAGCAGCCCAAGGTCTAAATGGCAACAAAACGTTATACATAATGTCTGATTCACTGTGTGGAGAATGTAAAGAATTGAGACCTCCCGACACAGTTTACATTGGCCCTTTTTATGACTAATTGTGCAGAAAATAGCTCTGCTTGTAGTGTGCATGGAAACAGTTCAGATTTCTGCTGTGTGTCAGCTAATGGCTAGCAAGGCTTTTTTAGCACAACTTCAAAGGCTCTGGCAATGGAGGTCCTTTGTGAGGGAATTATCTCCTGCTCCTTTGTACCCCATTATCCTTCTAAGCCATGGAACAAAGAATTGTGAAAAGAATAGACAAAGTAATTTGTAGTAGATCTCTAAACCTAGATAAAGTATATAACATTTGCTTAAAAACATTTTTTCTGCCTCTGTCATCAAAACGTGGTTATAATTTTTCTGTGTAGGAACACCCAAGTTCATGTAACTTTTGAGGGATGCAACCTGATGCTTAGGTTATTGATGAGGGTCACTAGGATGTCTGAAATGCAAAAGGAGAGCTTTAGTTTATGTGGTCAATTAGAAAATACATGGCTGTCAAGAGTTGGCTGAGAAGTGTCTTTCTCTCTGCCTCGGGATATTCCACTAAGAAAGGAAGAAAGTGCATTCTTTCAGCAGTGTGTTTGTGTATGGACGTGCTTTAAGGAAACCACGTATATTTCACATATTTTTTGCATGTTTTGTAGTTAAAAACCTCCTAAGTGATGGTTTATTCTTTCTTTCTTCCATTGAAAAATGAAACTGTGGGGAGATAAGGAAACACATTACATGGATCTGCTTTCTGTAGTCCAAAGAACAGTTCTTAATTAAAAATAAAAAAGCAAACCAGAAAGGGAATATCTGTGATTAATGTTAGCAGCCATGCTATATAATGTGTTCCTCCACTGTCTCCAGATCCTTGTCTCGAAAAAACAAAATGTGAGTGAAAGGAGAATAATCTTGGTCTCATCAAATTTAGTAAGAAACCCCCTCTTAAGTGCAGCAGCCACACTGACCACTGCACTGTTTGTGTTTGTGTTCAAACTACAAAATTACTGTGTTTAGCACTGGGTCTTGTCCTCTAGCAAATCCCATGAGTATCTCCTTATCCTCAGAGGGTGGAAGAATTGCATCCACACCTGGGCATTTTTAATCTTAAACTGTTAGGGGTGGCTGCTTTGCATATCTCCATGCCCAAGGACAGACTTTCTCTTCAGGTCCCTATGTAGAAAATCTTTTATGTCTGCTTTCTCTCCTTTTCCACTTCCATGGATTTCCCAAGGCAGCTGATGTTCTGACCTCTCAGATCCACTTTTCATCAGCTGTCAAGATAAATTCGGTTAATATTGCAGGAATGGTTTATTCAGGTTTAGACTGAAGAGGGAATAGTGATGGAAATGCAAGATCATTCCCTTGCCTCTCTAACCTGTCTGATATATCTCTAGATGCACTAAATTTTTAGTAGTTATACACTCTTGAGGTTTTTCCCAGGCCAGGAAGAGAAATTTTTAAAATATTTAAGCAGAAGCATACATGCACACACACACACACATACATATATATATATGTGTGTGTGTGTGTTTATATATATAAAGCTCATTTTCTTCATATCTATAAATAAAAATTAAATCCACTGATTTTATAAAGAATGTGACAGTTACTGCATACTCTCTTTGCACATATGAGCAGCCTCTAATATGCAGGTTATTTTGTTTTCATCACATAGGCTGTCAAAGTAATCTGTTGTTAATATTTAACAAGTGAGTCCTTATCTCAAGTTGTGGGTGACTAGGGAGAGTTATTTTATGTAAGATATTTTTCACATAGAAGATTTTCCTGGATTTTAAAGCTGGAAAGGATAATTATGATGGACTTCACAGCAGGAGGCAGGTCAAGACAATTCTTCCAGGAATTTTTTAACCTTTCATGTTTCATGTTACCTACCTACACTGGACCTCTCCAGTGCCACCTTTTTCCTTAAACCTTCCTCTTCCACATCTCTATTCCTGAGGAACTCCTTGCCATGGGATAACATGGATCATGTTGGCAAATGTCTGTGTTGGGTGGGAAAGACTGCTGGTCTGAGCATGCAAAACTTCATGTTTTCAGTCACTAAAGTAGAACATGATTTCAGGTTGCTTGTGGTGTGCATGATTTGGCTTCAACAGTATTACCATGATGTAAAATGAACAGGTGGATACAAAAACAACCTTGACATGTGAATTCTGACTGGACAGAGAAGTTAAGACAAATAGAAGTCAGAACTCTTCAATCAGATGGAGAGAATGCATTTACAGGACAAGCTGGTGATGAGATGGGTGGCAACTTACCCAGATGTATGAGGGATAATACAAGCAGGTAAATTTTAAGCAGAGTCTAAAGGTTAAGTTTTGTAAAGACTTGCTCATGCCATCTCCTAGTAGTTGTTAAAGTTTTGGGCTCTGTTAATGTATGTGGAATGGAGAATTATTTGGGGGCCAGCTCAAAGTTGGATTTTGGTTTTGATTTTTTTATTTCTTTTTATTTCTGTTCTCTTGGTTGAACTGGAGCATTGAAAATATTTTAGTATGTGTTGGATTGTGAATGTACAATGAAATAACTGTGATGTTTGCATGGATATTTGTAATTAGGATTTTAATTTATTTGGGAATCTGAAGTTGAGGGAGTTTTAATGGAAGCTGGCATTCCTTCCAGTTAGGAAAGGCAAAATTGAAAGAACAATCCCTGTTGCCATGCTGCCCAGCAGATCACCAGTCCCAGCAGCTGGCAACTTTCAGCTTGGTATCCTCACAGAGGGCAGGAATGGGAAGTCCAGGAAGTGTCATCTTTTGGTCTTCATCCATCACTTGAAGGGATTTGCAGGCTCTGCTGAAGAGCTGACATTGTTGACAGTTCTACCATTGTGTGGATGAGGAGTCAGAGCTTTTGCATAGTTACTTTTTTCCCTGAGTTTGAAAGAGTTAAAATTGGTTTCTCTTGTGCTGTCATCTTGTCAAAGATTTGCTGGATTCAGGACAATTATTTACATTGAGAAATCTTTTGGCATTTAAGATTCTGGCTCAGGGAAAATAAAGTGGACTCGGAAACGTCTCGGACTCTGATACCTTTGACTTTGGCTCCTCAGTGTCACTTTGCCAGTGACAGAATAGGGACCTTTGTTTGCCTTGGCCACTGCATAAAAAAACAGGATATGATCAAATCCAGTTAATCATTCACAAATGTCTCATTTCTTGAATCTCTGAGGGTGTATAACACATTTTTGGGACTGTTCTTTGCTGTTTTGGCTTTTGTTATAAGTAAGTTAGAAAGGGGAAAATCAAATTTTGAGTTTTCTTAAAAGGAAGTGGAGGAATCCTGGAACACACTAGGGCTCTGCAAATGTACATTTAATCATTTAAAGAAATGTCTTTTGGCTAAAAGCTCTTACCAGCGCTTGCAAGTTGCACTCAAAGCCATACAGCTACATCGTTCCAACAACTGAGGCGAGTTAGCGCCCTTGTTGGCAGCGGGAGCAGAGGGATGCAGGCTGAGCAAATCCTGGGGGCTGAATGCTCTCAAATTCATCAGTACTTTGTGCAGGGTGGGCAAAGAATCCCGGGGGTGACTCTGCTGGTGGCTGCACCAGCTCCTTGCATGGCGGTGTCCTTGGAGGGGGACTCAGGCACCTCTTGCCTGCCTTGGTTTTTTCAGTGCACACCATTTGGCTGTGCTGTGGAGCCAGACAATCAAAAACATCTCCTGCAAACACTTTCACTGTGCTTCAGGCAAGCACATGCTCTCCAAGCAGCAGCAGCAAACCAGAGGAGTGAGTTCTTACACCCCACAGCATAGTGGATCTCCCTCCTCCGAGATGCCACAGGCACGTGGTGGCTTGGGCACATTCCTGGAGAATTGGTCTGTTCAGAGCTGGCAGTGAGGTGCAATGACCTGGGTGTAAATGGGGGTCACCCAGCCCTGTAGAGCTGGGAGTTAATGGATATAATGGAGGAGAATTGTTCTGTTCTTCCTCCATGTCATTCATAGCTGCAGTTGGAGAGAGATTACAGTGCCATGTGGATTTTAATAAATCTCTTTGTGGACTTCTTGCTCCCTTACTTTATATATCCAACCCATCCTGCAAACAGTGTGGGACTCTGACAATAAGTTGAAAGCTTTGGCTGGATTACACTCTCTTATTGAGTCTGTGCCCAAAGCCCTCTGAGGGCTCCCATTGACTCCGGTGGGATTTGGTTCAGATTTCAAGTATATGGGACCCCCTTAAGTAAACTCTTTCAAGGCCTGTACACACTGCAATACTTACTGAGCTCCTTGTTACTTCTGTGAATAGGAATGTGACCTTTACACTTCTAACAAAGAGCCCTGAATTACAGGACTAAATCTTCATGTTTTGGGAGAGATAAGGTTACCATCCCAGCTCCTCCCAGCCCCACTGTGCAGGTGGCTGAATGGCTGATGAGGCAGTTCCTGAATCACTGTGGTTTTAGTCAGACAAGTGCTGAACATGCATTACAGCAGCTTGAGTCTCTTCATTAGCAGATGTTCATGAGCAGTGATGGTCAGGGTTGTAAGTTGTTCCATTTCAAAAGTCAAAGCCCTCGAAATATCCTTTTGCCAGTGCAGGGTCATTCTGATCTCCATGTTGGAAATTTATTTAATCAGTGTGCATCCTAAAAATGGTCACAGTGGAAGACAAGACTAGCAACCCATCCCATCTAGGTTTCCTGTTATCCACCCAGTCCCTTGGCCATGTGAGGGGAGGGAGGGATAAATGAGATGGAAGAAGAAAGTGTTTGGGCTGTATGCTGTCCCTCTGGTCTAGTTTTTGGTACCCTTGACTCCCAAAGCTGCTGTTCCAACAGGAGAAACTCAAGTGAGTGAGAGTAGTAGTTTGATTGACAGTGCTATTTTCTACCTGTATTTTAGGTCACTTCCTGGGTAACAACACTGTGATTGATGTACTGAGACAAGCAGGATTTGAAGTGGAGCACACCCCTCCTGGACAACCAATTGGAAAGTAAGCAGCTGCCCACAGATTATTAATCACTTTCTCTCCTTTTTTCTCTCCCTTTTTCTGTGACTAAGCAAGATTATTGCATTAGTATAGGAGGTGGGTGAGGAACCTCCCTTTCCCACCCAATTTCCAGACAAAAAGTGCATTGTAAAGCATCCATTGTGTGAGTTTGGAAACATATGGAGCCTGAATGGCTGGTGTTTTTGTGGGTTTTTTCCACTTGGGGACATTATTTATATCACAGCTGCTTCGTTATACCAGCTCAGAAGTGCCATGGTTTCTTTAAAGAAACATTTCATTCAGCTAATTTTCCCCCAGAGCTGTTTTTCCTCTCTCTCTCTCCATGGGGTTTTCGTTGCTTCTCCATTGCAGACTTCTCTGTCAGGCTGCTGTTCTTTAGGTGGAATTTCAGTTTTTTCCTGAAGGACCACATTTAATGTAGCAGATGCATCATTGAAAATGTGTTGGGCAGGTAGAGAGCAATTCAGTATTCCCTGAGCTTCTCCATATATCTGGTCAGGTAAGGCAGGGAAGAAGGACTGATCAGTTGGCTCTTGGCAATCTTCATTAGTATAAAATAAAATATATAAGTATATATATATATGTATAAGTAATATAATAATATATATATAATATATATAAGTATAAAATAAAATAAAATAGTATAAAATAAAATAAAAAATGACACAAAATTGTCCTTAGCTGGTGAAACAGACTTCCTTCATCCTGCAGATTTTCTTTTTCCTGGCCATTTAAATGAGGTCTCTGTCTGAAGAAATCACAGACAATAAAACCGTGAGGGCTGGTGAGAGACCATCTAGCTTTGCAAAATCAGCCTTTCCCCTACATTCTGCAGATAAAATTTGGACGAGGCTACTCTGTCATAGGATTGTTATCCTCATTAGGAGAAAGTGTTAGCAGCATGCTCCTGTCCCTGGTGGGCAGACATGACATGGTCCAAAACTGAGGTGAGTCTCAGTGAGGAGAATTAATGGCAGAGGTAGTAGACTATGTCTGAAAAAGCTGTGTGTAATCTAGTTGGAAAATCTGGCTGATCTAACCTTGTTTGGGAAACATCCGCAGTGATTCATATAGAATATAATATGGCTCAACTGTACATAAGTGTTCTTTGACAGAGCATTTATCCAAAATGCTTCTTGGAATCTGTTGAGCCATAAAAGCATCGTCTTAAATAACAATGGGGGAAAGAGGAAGAAAAGGCTGTTAAACACCACCAGTAAGAGCATATATTCAGAGGAGATTTAAGAAGCACTTTGGCAGGGGGAGAAAAGTCAACATGGTGTAGGGAAGAGCAGTAAACACTGTAGCAGTCTGGAGCTGGAAATTTTTTGACTAAAACCAACCAAAAAAAAAAAAAAAAAAAAGCAAAACAGAAAAACCAAGCAAACTATAGCAGAACAGCCGAGGTGTACCATTCCTGAGTGGAAAAAAGAAATTTTCCACTCAGGGTAGCAGACACTTTCTTCAGCAATTTTCATTTAGTTCAAAGTATCATCTTCCCATGAAAAGCATTTCAACTGGAAATTGTGAAACTATTAATTTATTGGCTGCTGCAAGCCTTTGAGAAGAACTAAAGATGCAGTAGTGTGAGAGAAGTCCAAGAATAGTCTCTGCTCTCTGGTGTTAGGCTATGTCTGTACACATCATCACAGACTTGAAATAAAGGATGGGGCAGGAAATTTGGCTAAAAGCCAGTGCTTAATGTTGACTTATTTGCAGAGTGGGGCACCTCTGTCTGCACATTCCCCTACCTTGGCAGCAGTGTCTTCTGTTCATGATGTCTTCCCTAAAATTCTCAATTCCTGGGGGAAATGCCCCTGAAAGCAAGAGGGCTTGGACTCTGCCTAGATCGATGTGTGTGTCCTCAGCTGAATGGTCCCACACTGGGTGACTTCTGTTCCCAGATCCAGACCATCATGTTGGGCAGGTTTGCCTGGACTAGAACCCTTATTCCAGTGGGATCTGCTCTGAACATTGAACATACAAAACTTTGTTAAAGTGTAAATGGTTGTGCAGGAATACTGGGTGGAGTCAAGAGAGAACACATGGTTGCCCCCCCCATAAGGATTAGATACTCTGTGAGTTTTCCTGTGGTCTGATGATAAGGTACATCTGCCAGTTCTACCTTATCAGACAAGAATAAAGAAAGAAAAATAAATTGCATGGCAAAAAAGTCCAGAGTTGCCACTAGACTGAATTACTCGAGGTGCAGAAACAGCAGAAAACTATAGAAATTGTGAATAAAGAGCATTTAAATATATTCACAAGGAACAGCTTTCTGCCTTTAGAAGAAAAAAAGACTTTCAAAACTGCACATCAGGGACTGTATTGTCATTTTCCTGTAACTGGGGCTGTAGCTATCAGAAGTGCTTGGGGCTCCCCCTTAGAAATGAGGAGGCTGCTGCAAACCATTTTGTCTCTTTTTTTATGGAATAGCTTGTATTTTATGATTTCTGGGTGAGCTCCAAAAGGCAGTCTAGCCAAACAGAGTACAGCATCACAACTGTGATAGTTGTTGTGTTGTTTGTGTTTATGTTATATTGTCATGTTGCTATAATTGAGAGTCTTGAGGAACCTTGCATTTTTGTCTAGCCTTCCTTTTTTTACTCTTCTCTTTCCTATTTAAAAGATTTAATAAAAACAATTGAAAGGCCCAGAAGAGGAACCATTTTGCTACAGTGACTGTAGTAACAAAATATATACATCGCATAAACAAATAGAGGCTCAAAAAATTTTGAGCTGCTTGCAAAGCAGAAATTGTTTTGTGGGTTACAGAGGTTGCAGAGGTGCAGGTGTTTTCATCTTGATTCTTGTGGAGCCATACATGAAGAGGTATTTCTTTGTGCTCAAGCCCAAAAGTGACATTTCTGCTTTACTTCCAAATAAGTTGTATAAGGGAGTCAAGCCCACTTCATTGCATTCTGGCATTGACAATTGAAAAATTGGATAGTGTTCAAGGAAGATCAGCTGGATTCTAATGTGGAGTTTGGGGGGGTGGACAGCACATGGAAAAAATGCAAGGGCTGGAAAAAAAACTGAAGCAGCTGCATGCTTATGTTTTAGCAAAGGGAATTAAAAAAAAAAACTGTTGTGGACAGACTGTATGCAGAAGAATGAAGAGGAACAGTTTGAGCTGGCACATAGGAATGTTTGAAAGTCTATCAGATTGAATTTGAGGGTGATTTTGGATGAATATCAATGATTCCTTGACAGTGATTTGCAGGACAATTTTTCTCCAGTTAAATAAGAAGCCCCATTGTATGAAAGTAACTTTAGCAAAACACTCATGCTATGTCCTCCTTACTACCAGTACTGTTTTGCCAAAAAAGCAAGTGGTCATTTTCTTTAATCTCTCTGTTCCCAAAACATTATGGTTATTACTATTATTGACATGATTAGTAGTCTGATCTTCCTTGTTCAGTAATAATTCAGCAGCATTACCATAAATGGGTGGAGTATAGTCTGATATGATATTTAAATTCTGCCATCCATTTTGGTTTTAGAAAGGACAAGAGAATTCCTTTTGTAGAAAGTAACTAGCACTGTTCCTATGTATCAGAAAAAGAAAAGTCTTGGGAAGTGTGAAAGAGGACAAAGACCAAACCTGTTTATGCTTTCAGCTGCATATTGACTGGGTAAAGCCAGAAGATTGTTGGCTTCCTCTGTCCAAAATACTAAGCATGGGTTGTGAAATGGCTGCTCTTTAAGCCAACCAAACTGAATACCTAGAGTCTCACATTTCTGTTGTCTAGTGACAAGCACAAATTTGAGCCAAATCCTCCCTTTCCTAAGGTAGTGGGGAAAAATAAAGTGAGATCTTGTCTGGCTGGAAGAGATAGCCAAGACATAGAGGGGTCTGATGGCTCCGGAATCAGTGAACTAAACAAAGAAAAGTTTATATAAAGTATATTTAGCTGGTGTGGAGCTATTTGGGAACTCTTACTGACTGGATTTCTGAAATCTTCTGGCTCCTCCTGTTGATCTGCCTGATGGCCCTGTGTTGACCTTCCTGTGCCTCTTCCAGAATTCCACCAAGCTGACTATTGAAAACACCTTCTGTAAAGCTCAATCCCTTTCTGTAAAAGAATCCCTGTTCTATTCATCATGCAGAACAATGCCATAAACACTTGAGAACTTACTCTCACATTGGCTTAATTTGTTCATTTTGTTGCCTGAGGGAAGTGTCCTGAATCTGTTTGCGTGACAGCCTTCTGCAGCGTTCATATTTGCTTCTTATTTTGCTGGCTGTCATCCTTGTCCCCAGATACAGGCATTGGAAAATTAGTGACTGAATCAATATCTCATTGCTTTGCCCTGAGATAAGAAAGACAAGTTTGTTTTTTTGGGGGTTTTTTGTGGAGTTCTGCCAACTGGCTGTCCCTGCTCCTCTCTGTCTTCAGAAAACAGAGCTGCATGCCTGGGGTTGGGAGAGAGGAGAAGATGGGAGAAAGTCTCCCCTTAGATGGATTCCAGTGGCTTGAGCAGATAAAGGGCCACAGCTGCTTCACATTTAACTGGAAACAGCCAAACTGCAAGATCAGTCCAGGAAGCACCTGTGTCCATGATGACTCTGCTGTTGCTGGGTTCTCAGAATCAGCTCTGACCTTCTGCCATGTGCCAAGCCCTGATGTGCTGCACACCATCCTCTTGGCCAGAAGAACATGCAGCAGTGCTCATTTTTATCAGGCTCTCTCCAAGGATGGGATCAGTGCTGCCTTCTTTCAAAATCAGGGAATTCAGGATGAATCAAAGAATTCAGCACAAATTTTTATGTCTGCTTATCTGAAAGTTTGAGAGTTTATTGTAAACTCTCAGAGCTCTGCTGGAGAAATTAATTACCCTTGCTCCTTCTGTTTGCACTTCCTGTCCCAGTTGAAGCAATGTGTCTTTGCTGTTGTAACTTACTCCTGTCCTGTCTGAAGCAAAGAGCTTCCTCCCTCCCTTCTCCCATAGCATTCTACAGTTGTGGCCCTGGCTCTGCT